TATTAACTGTGTACTTTCTTGTGCATCATTAGTATTACCTGACTGATGTTACTTCCAATAGTTTCATGTCATACAACTTGTTACTTTCTATGCTTTAAATAAAGGCAGTTGAAATCAGTAACTTAGTGTAACTGAGTGGATATTCATAGTTTCATCTTGCACTATTTCTGCAAATATTATAGTAGCTGTAGAAACCACTACCATGGACCAGTGCTAACCATTGCACAAAGACAGTTCCAGCTTGGAAAAAACATACAGTGTAAGTAGAAAGTAACTGAACTTTATCTGGGGATATCTAGGAAGTTAGCACTGAATACTCCTATTCTTTCTTGAGTTGGGGTTTTCTTCGTTTCATACCCAGCTCATGGGTAACATTTCCCACTCCCCAGCAGTAGCAGTGAGAAGAAGAAATTAAAATGTTAAACCTGTGGCTGAGAGGTCAACGCATGGTAGTTTTCTTGAATAAATAAAAACAGAGTCTACTACTCTGTTCTCTCATGTGCAAAGTTGCCATGTTGGAACTTGATCCAATTCGTAGAAGTCTTGCCATTTTTCTTTACATTCCTGTTTTCGTTCTTTTTGCAAATTAATTTGCTACAATTTGTGACAATAAATAGCATCTAAGCCACAGGGAATCTTAAAATTCAACAATAATACGTGCTAGTAGTAGGACACTGCAATCACTTAGGCAATTACAATAGCACCTGCTTTCAAAACATAATAGTTACATTGTAAAATTCTCGGACATTAGTTAGATTAGAAAGTAATATCATGCTAATTTAGTAGTAATTTTATAATATGAAATTATGCTATCACAATATTACCCTATTGATTCTATTATAAATGTGATTTGTTTCCTTAACTCATTTTTCTCTCAAACACTTTGCCCACCACAGAATAGTAGCTATTTTCAATAAACACCAGCAGGAGCCACTTAAGGTGCCAGGACTCAGAGTTAAGTGAAAGCATGACAATCTCAGCTTTCTTCTAAAGGCAATTAAGCCTCTGGATGTAAAAATAAGAAATGAAAACCTAGCCAGTATGCAATGCAATTGCAACTTGCTTGCAATGCTCATAAGCATGTAATAGAGGAAAGTAACCTTATATATGTGGTCTTATGGTTTACGTTTTTAAGCCAGTCTCCTTATTTTTTGAGATTCAATTATTTAATAACTGGGTGTTGACAGTGCTGCATAACTAACTGATGGAGACATTGCATGAAATGAATCACAATTCCTATAGCTCTTCTGGGGTGTAATGATTTTGCTTGCTTTTGGGGAAATGGAAGAGAGAGAGATCTTTGCATACAGCAGGAACAGCAGCTAATCAAACCCCACTGTGAAATGACTCGAACACAAAGGGAGAGATCTAGCTTCCTCCTAGACAGAGGCTTGTGTTTGCTGATCACAGAAGCCAGCCTGTTGGTGACAGTATAGTTTTTAGTTGACAGCAGTATTTTTGCCTGCTGCAGAGATTATTCCAGGTGCTCAGTATGGAAAATGGCAATGCCTATTCCAACAAAATGGCTTTAACAATATGAGACATCCTGTTGATAGAAAACCTCATTACCATGAAAGAGTGCTGAGCAAATTACTGTGCTACTTAGGCTTGTTTTAGAGATGGAAGGACTGTGTGTCTGCTACCTCAGAACCTTTCATCTCTTACCCTTACTGGTGTGTACTTGGTAAAATAAAATAAATAAATAAAATTTATAAATGTTCTTTTCCTTTGCAAATCTTAGTGTTCTAGACAGACTGGTAAGTATTATCTCATTTTACAGCTGAATTAAAGGCATGGGGAAATTAAGCAATTTTTGAAGGGTAACAAGAGCTTGTTTTCACCTATGCTCAGTCTGTTGGACCAGGACCAACCAACTTGTGGATGCTGAAGGCAGCTCTTATTTCTGCTGCAAGCTGGACCAATGCAGCTATGTTGTAGTGACATTATGCTTGGCAGAATAAATTCTGCCAAACATGAGCTGCATCTGCGCTATGAACTTTTCTACCATTCTCATCAAAGCATGCATACTAGTAAGTTAATTGGGCTGTTTTTCTTTTGGGCTGTGTTTTGGGAATTCCATGTAAAAGACCCGAACTAGCACTAACTATGTATATGTCTTCATGTGGGCTCCATGCTCCATCTTATCTGTAATGTTCTTGCTAGATGAAAAACCCCAGTGGTAGAGGATACCTACTGCTGAAAGCAATAATCATATTTCAGTACTGGTGACCTAGGTTCTGTTCAAGTATCTATGCTTGGGCTTTTTGTGCTGTTATTTTTATTACAGCAACTCCCATACATCCTACCCAATACTAGAGTTTCAGCAGCCAAATTCAGCGTGAAACACATAAGCAGACGCAATCTCTACTTTTTAACAGTTCACAAACTGAAGCTAAATATGCAAGAATGAATTGTTGCATATTACTCTCCCCGAAAAAGCTAGAAAATTTTCCAGATACCCAACAGTATTGAGGTTTGAGTCAAAGTTGAAAAGGATGTTGATAAAATCCTGAAGAAGCAATCTGCCTGTGGACTAAGAATGTCCATGTAGGGTGTTAAATGTGTGTAACAGAAGGAAGATGTCATACCTGCCTGGTAAACCTCCTGATGTTGACTGGTCTTAAGTCCTGACCCCATGACATGGTCCCTGAAGATGGACTACTGTGTAAAAACCTGTTCTTTTCTGCAGGACTGAGCAAGCTGCAGCTTACAGTTTTCCTCTTAAGTCAAACAGGAAGTCTGCAGCCAAATTGGAGAGTGAACACGCATGTCCTGAGCTCCAGTTCAAACTGGATTTCTAAAGACCATCTTTTGCCTCCCCTTCAGTTAAGAATCTCATTCAGGCTTCATTTTCTTTATAGTTTTTCCATAATCTATGACTTCAGCCTTTCATATACCAAAACTGTTCATGGCTCATGTCAACTGATACCTATGCAGACAGGCGAGGCACAGTGAGAACGGTTCCTCTCTGCAACATGTGCAGATTGTCTAGCAGTGTGCTGAGTGGAGCACTGATCAAAGGCAGCACAGCAGAGCTCAGAAGCTTCAGTGAAATGTCAGCTGTGCTCCCAGTATCACAGCTAGCATCCACAGAAGGCTGGAAGAGCAGAAGAAAGGGAGGAGGAGGGAAGGACAGAGGCTTTCAACTTCAATGCGAAGTTATTTGATTCAGAGTTGGAGGATTTACCTTGTGTATCTTCAGCCTTATGTATTCTTCCCTCAGAAAGTTTCACAAACAAGGTTACATCATGACATCTGATGTGTAATCTCTACAGAATAATCAAGCATTTTGCTCTTTCATTATCTTGCCTAACAGCAGGCATTTGCCTACACAAGAACGAATCATCTTAGGACATCAGACACAGTCATTACAAGGATAAACTTAGGTGAGGTAGGGAATGAAGATACTCTGAGAGCACAGGAATATTCTCACTAGCTAAAGAAGATGATTCATCAGGAAATGTTAATGTAGGGTCACAGGTAGAAAAGTAATATTCAGGCCAGAAGCACAAACAAGATGGATTTGTTTGTCTTAAACCTAGCTTCCAGTATTTGGTTTTTTTGCCTTAGTTGTTTATGGTGATTTCAGCTTTTGGTTAAGATTGTCCTGAATTGATCATTAAAGCAAACTACTGAAAGAGATCTAGCACTGGGCTTATATATCCTAGTTAATACAAGGCAAACATGACTGCCGAGTAGATTCAGCCAAAGACAGACCAGTGGGTTCATCTGACTCAAGAAATACTTACAATTACTCTTTCATTGCTTTGCTGAACCCTATTAACTTACCCCAGAACTTCTTAATTACCAATTCTGGGCCGGCAGGAAAAGCGCACAGTTGATATGGGCAGATATGGTGTGGTTTCCGTACACTGAGGGAGGAGAACTGTGCTCCAGACAAGAACACATAAAGAAGGAGCTATATCTTCTAGAAGGATTGCACTGCTTCAGCTTTCCTGAAGATGCTCGTGCTTTGTGCGATATGCTATTAGCACTTGATGGATTCACTCACAGTAGCAAAGCATCTTGAACCAAATGGTGTCGGACTCCTGACCAAGAAACTAACGCAAGAGTTTTCAGGTCTGGCTGGATTGTCTAAATTGACCCGGGATGGCTGCATACTTTGTATTTTTTCACCTGGCTACACAGGGGCAATTTTCTGTGCCAAAATGACCGGTCTCCTTGACATAAAATGAAACAAAATTAAATAACACACTCAGAGCTTGTTCTGTGCAAACTATTGCCAGACATGAGGCGGGTAGGCCTCTCCCTGTAATGTTAAACCTCTCAGCACTCACGTTATCCCACCTCAGAAGAGTTATGATACCATATGAAAAACATCATTCACGTGAAGAAAAATTTCCAGTCTTTTACTCCAATATTTTTAAGACCATCGACATGAAACGCAACTCGAACACAACAGGGTGACGACAGATAACATAGAGCCTATAAGTCATAAGCCACACCGGATTAAAGTCGCACTCCCTCACCTCCCTAGCCGTACCTTCAAGCGAGGGCTGCCCAAGCTAAGTGAGGCCCAAGCGACCGGCCACACATCACCACAGACCCGCTGGCCGGCCGCTGCCAGCCCCCCCCCGCCTCGCCTCGCCTCGCCTCGCCTCGCCTCAGGAGAGCAGCTGACTGAGGAGGCGCCATGCTGCGGGCTGCCAACGGCCGCGGCCCCCT